ACAGTGAGAAGACGCCAGCGTCCATAGGAAAGCATTGTGAATGCTTTCCTATGAACTGGATGAATGCGTGCGCGGCTCCTGCCACACATGCGCATTCAGCCGATGACGTCGCTATAGAGGAGGAGAGGAGGAGGAGAACTCCCCGCCCGGCGCTGTAGAAAGGTAAGATTTTAACCCCTTCCTCTCCCCAGAGCCCGGCAGGAGGGGGACCCTGAGGGTGGGGGCACCCTCAGGGCACTATAGGGGGCCTTTAAATAAGTTGCTAGTGGTGGGCTTGAGGCAGAATAGACAGGTCTTTTATTAAGGGGTGCCCTCGAAGCCACATAAGATAGGAATTACACCTTTAAGGTTTCCTCTAAGCACTACAGACCAGAAAACAGATAGGAATTGCTTACCGGTTTATTTTCTGTGAGACACAACAATAGGAGCTTAGAAATTCAGCAGGTCTGTTCCTGAGAATACAATCCGTTTTTCTTATACTTTCACTTTTCATCTGTCCGCACTATAACATGCAGGTATTCTGGTCTATTTAGAACGAACCACACAGATACTTACTAATTCTAAAACTGCTACTTAGTAATGGCTGAATACACAGCAAGAGAAATGTCTGTCTCTCTGTAAACAAGGAATGTACCCTTGATAAGGCATAGTTTAAGTCGATCTGTTTCACAAGACTCAAGGAAGCACTTTAGGGCTCACCTCCTGGTTACCTTCTGGAGTTATAATGTGCAAAATACTAACGACCGTTTAATCATCTTTAACTCTATCTGTACTTGTATACAACAGACAGAATTAAGACTGCTTACCCTATTTTAATATTTCTTGCTATACATGTTTTATTTTATGTATTAATATATTAAAAGCAAAGTTTTATTATTAGACACATTTAGATTCTATTTTTGATACAACTACTTATCCTCTGGTGACACCTACTGACACCTTAACCCTACTCCTAACCCTACTCCTAACCCTACTCCTAACCCTACTCCTTACCCTAACAGTTTTGCCACTTTTCAGAGCACTTCCGAAATTCGGCACTTCGGACATTCGTAAGCATCCGAATGTCAGAAATTCAGATAAATTTCCATTCAGACGGAACCAAATTGCACGTTTAATTACAGTGCTATTTACTAAAAGCAATGCATGGCTCCTCCAGCAGCTTATAGATAACAGTCTCCGATGAGTAAAACGGCTGTTTGGGAGTTTCTCTTAATATATAGAAATAAAACACAACGTGAGAAACCCTGATCCCTGCTTTCTGTGTGAATCCCTCAGACACAGCGCACTGTTGGTTCAATTCCTGGCCAATTCTCATATCTGCAGGGAGTAAAATTAAACAATATTTTCCATATTCACCAAGATTTTTTTTTTTATTAGTAAATACCATGGTGAATTCACTATTCCCAGCTGTGAGGGTAAGCTGGTAATAAAATCAGTGAGTTTATTTCGGCAGCCATTAAATATTTCTAAATAATTAAACTCCTTATTTAAAGCTTGATACTAATAGTGTTTAAGTTTAGGCATCTAAAGGTTCACGCCTATACAATCCAACTATTTGCGAGGTAACATTAACAAGGTTATTCATAAACCTGAGAATTGAAAGTGAAAAGATCAAAATAACAAAATAAATTCTCTAAGTCAGCTATGCTTTCAGTCCAATTATCTGGCCTTAAAGTTGAAATTCACTTAGAATTCTCACTTTAGAACATCAGTGTGAATGCCCATTAAGAGTCATATACCAACTGGTAAGGGGCTAAGTTGGGCAATTATAGGATTTAATTCAATGACATCATATGAGAGTTTGACATCAGAGAAAGTGAGTGTGGCTAGTTATAGGCATACCTGGCTACTCCAGCATCCCAAGACTCACAATGCCAGTGGGACGTAGATAAAGGGGACGACGGCAAGTGATGCGATTGTGTCACTTGTTCTACCCCCAAAGGGGACAGACCACCTGCATTCAGGCCAGTCCACTGTGGGCAGACCCTGCAGGGAGTACAGTTTCAGAGATCCCAGAAGATTCCTAGTGCCCTAAACATATTGCAAGTGTGTCTAATGATATGCTCGCGCTATGCTTGTTGTCGTGTCCTGTCCCAACATCCCATGGAACAAAGTTGGGACGCCGGGATAGGACACGAAAATCGGGACTCTCCTGAAAAAAAATCACAACAGTTCGGAGATCTGATATAAAGTGAGACTTTATAAATAATAAATGTCCAACTTTATATTGTGTAACCAAATTACTGCCAAGTGTGTCCTTAAAAAGTTATTTCATTTGCTATTTTTGCCTCCTTAGACTTTGGTGAAAAGACTAAAAACACATTCTCATGAAATTCTACACCACATTAGTTGACATGGCTTTGACTCTCCTAGATAAACAGAGTATAAACTACCGGTAAGTAGATTAGGAAAGGCAAATCAAAAAATGTATGTCTAGGTGCAATAGCCCTGGAACATGGAAGATAAATTAAACATTGTCCAATAACAGCGCTCCTATCACTGAATGTGCACTGAATGTCTTGTGGGACCAGGTCTCAGGACGGACACAGGGTGAATTATTTGTAAGATTGTGTATTTAATTGAGATTTGTCAGAAATTTGGGCGACCAACGATCTGACATGACCAACCGCTTAGCACAATTAAAATTAAATAAAGCCCTCACCCGCTGGCCACTAATACATTTATTTATTTTTTTAAATGGAGGAGAAAGTATGTCAATGGCTGCCTCATACCCAAGCATGAGCAGCAGGTGGAGGCTACTAATTAATTAATTAAAAAAAATAAAAAGGGGGAGGGGCGCAACCCAGATTACAGCTATTCATTAAATAAATGGGGGGAGTGTGTCTCCCATCCACGGGCAGCAGGCTGGGGCTATTAAATATAAAGTATATGTATAAGCATCATCCAGGGCCAATAAGCACATTTACAAAGTATAATGCAAGTACAAAGTACAAGCACAATAAAATCAGTTGAAAACCTTGTTCATGTGAGAGGCTGCAAAGATTTCTCATGTATGGGCAAGATTTGCTAAATGGTGCACATACAGAGATAATAAAAATACATTCTAAGGTCTGTCTCTTAATTGAGAAAGCCAATTGGGTCCCTCCTTGTATAAATAAATCAATCTCCTGCACCCTGTACAATACAATACCGCCCAGGATATCCATTTATATACAGTACCAGACACGTCCTTCCAGAAATCAGATTTGCCCGAGTGCTTTTAAAGTGATCCGTCACGTTTGGGTCACCTTTTCAACTTTGAATGTTCAGTTGGTGTGGAGACTATGGGCCCACATGGATATATTATGCTTTGCGGTTTGTTTGTTTTTGTGAATCTGGCAGTGTTAATTTTTAAATGTCCTATTGCGGCTGCTACGGTTTCCTGTGGAGCGCTGTCACTTTATCTCTGGCATTGTACATTGAGCTAGTAAGTAATCAGGAGTTATTTTAAAACTTTACTGCACTATCAAAAAAGGCTAGTGAATCGCTCTCATAAATAATAATAAAAAATATTTGAAAGGGAAAACACTATTCTCGCTGTGCACAGCTTCCTTCCATTGTATTTAGAACATCAATTATTACTACGTCATTATTTCGCCAGTGTTGTATCAATGTATAGCTCTCTATATGGTTAGGGTGCTCTAAACCACCTATCCTCATTTATCAGATATGGCCTTTAAATACACATCCAGATCTGACTATAAAGCCTAACTCTGTTATTTTTAAAGAGACAATAAGGTCATATTTTCTCCAAGTTAGTTTTAAATAGCCAGTACATGTACATATTTCACAAATCAAATCATGCAGGGCCGAACTGCCAAAAATATTGGGCCTGGGCATTTGTTCTAATCACAGTGGCCCACTGAGAAGGGGCAGAGCCAGAGAGGGGTGTCTTGTCATAACCACCTCGCAAGATGAAGATCCCCACGGAGCTGCTGCTAAAGCCCTCTGTTCTCTCCAGGATTTCAGAGCCTGTGAGATCTTTGATCTCCCCAGCCTGGCCGGCAGGGGAGGTCCTCTGCCATCACAGCCCATTAGCATTTGCCTGATGTCCAGATTGCGCCCAAGTTCATGATAATATGGATACTACATATTTTTTTTTGAAAATAATCATAAGGTGATAAATTGGGAAGCACGACTGCAGTCACTGATTATAGCGTCAATTATATAATGTTCCACCAGGATTGCTCCTTCTCACTGAATAAGTTTCATTGTATCTGCTTCCCACACTGCCAGGTTATCGTGGAATTCATTTAAATATTGTTCCCCCAGATTGCTCCTTTTAATTATCTCACCAAATACATTTAATTGCATCTGCTTCATGCACTGCAGGGATATTGGAGAATCCATTTATTTGCATTTTGTACAATCTCTGGTACCATTGCTATACAGTCTCCTGGGTATTTCAAGATATGAAACGCGTTTGGTGAGAACATTCGATCACATGTCTCACTTTTATATTTGTCTCACTCAGTGTTTAGTGGAGAATTTCTCCAACTTGATGTGGACCTAAAATTTCATGTGCCTGAATAATTTCTACACAGTTTTTAGTAAAAATCATACACCGGCTACTAATGAGAGCTGTAGAGTAGACACTTTTCAGTATCCATTTTACAGTTGTCTGAAATATTTATTCCAAACATGTAGCACTGCAGCAAGTCAGCTCTTTAAAACAAGCATAAACACCAAGACAATTATTCAAAGTGTCTTTTTTTTCCTCCAGATAAACAAAAGGTTAGGAAGACATGCCTTGGTGTTACATTACATATTTTCTTAATGTCATAAGCTGCTTTAAATGTGAAATTATGGCCCTGTATAATTTGATGATCAAAGAGATTTATTACTCTCCACACAGCTTACTATCTATATTTCATTAATGAAGCATAAGCAGAAAAATTAAAGATTCTCCCACTTTTTATAAATACATTCTAGATAGATTTTTGTACAGATATTCTCTCTGGTCTTATTTCGATTTATTATCGATTGTGAATTAGCACCGCAATAGTCAGTAACAGCAGAATTTTTTTATGATTTCTCCACAACCCCCGGTAAGAGGGTTAAAGTGGTGTGGGCAAAGATCTGATCAAGGACCCCCACAGCATAGAGTACTGGCACACCCATGTCCTTCTGAGGTGACAGTACACTTTATGTACTGTGCATTTCCAAAGGGCCAGCTTGAAGCCACTAAATTTCACATCGGCTTAACATCTGGGCAGCAGCCGCAACCACAAGTTTAATTCAGTGTTCCTCTTGGCAACAACATGGGACTGAGGAGAGAAACAATCTCTTAATTTCATTCCTGGCACAGCACTAGAGGGGTGGGGACTAAAAGGACAGCAGCAAAAATGTAAAGGGGAACAGACATTTAACTTTTTTTTAATCCCCATATTTAACAAATCTGTATTTATAAAATAAATACTTTAAAACGTAGATAGCAATTCATACTGGGTGTCACTATCTTAGCTCTTCATCATCCAATGTTATAAGCCAAGTCCTTAGCACCTAGTGGTCAGTATAGAGAAAACAAACCAAGGAGAAATAGAACCACATCTCCCCATTTGCAGTGTGTTCCCTGGCTCAACTGGATTGTAATTTGCTACATTTTTTATGTAAATTTAAAAGAAAACAGAGCATCGCATGAAACCGGTTAATACCATTATTGTCAATGTTTTATTCAATGATTGAGTTTTCAGAGAAGTAACGTTTTCACCCCCTTTAGAGAATATCTTTTTCAACATTGGAAAGCATCTGATTTTATAAGCTATGTATCGTTGAATAAAGGTATTTGACAGATTGAGGTGAACCAGTTAATTTAATATATTCTATACCAGATTCAGCATAGCTTTCTATCGACTACTAGATGAATCTGTATTAGAATCTGTGGGCTTCAACAATGACAGCGCAGACCCAGATGACCTTTGGAGAAACTCAATAGCTGGCAACAGATTGAAAATATTTTATTCATAATGTAATGTCCACATTGCGATGGAATGGATGCGTTGCTGGAGCAATGGGCCAAACGTCACCTCATGTCCACCACCATGGCCTCACCGATAATGAGCATTATTTACCATGTCTCACAGCAAGAACTAAGTGCAAAAATCAAGTGCCATACTTTACAGAAAGCATTGGAAATGCTGGAACCCAGTGCCTGGGTAATGTTATTTCTAAGGCACGTACGGTACCTCTTTAAGCAAGGTTAATAAATTGTCCACGCTGCACCTTAGCAATTGCCCTTCTCTACACAGCATGGACGGAATTCCTGATTAGTGCTCATTGTAAAGAGACCGTTAGTGGTGGAATTTTTTGTTAGGATCGTTGGCGTGGTCAATCAAAAGCTGGCACGGTGTGAATTGGCTTCCATACACAGTCTCGTATTTTCTCAACCTTTCCACAAGACGTTTTGCTCCATACGCATCAGTGTACCGGAATGGACCTAAACACAAACACAGGTTTGTTTAAAATTAAAAGCTCATTCATACATACAAAAAAAAAATTAGACAAGTCACATATTTGATTATCATTTCTACATAATGCCAACACAGACACTTAAGAGTTTAATCAATTTCCCATTCTTCACTCATAGTCTACTCTGTCTTGCAAACATTCAGTCCAAGATTTGTGTTTACCTTCATTAGTCTGCTACACAAGCCTACTAAAAAACAACTGTAAGCAAATGTCCAATATCTATTCAGAAAGTCAAAATACACCGTTGGAAACCAAGAACAAAGCTAAAAATGCAAGCCTACCTCCAAGGCATGGTGGAAATCCCAAGCCAAAGACAGCCCCAATGTCACCTTCTACTGGGTTGCTGAGAATGCCTTCCTGCAAACACATTACTGCCTCGTTCACAAATCGAGTGACCAGGCGCATCTGGATGTCCTCATCGGAGGAACTGAAAGAAAGGGAAATAAGCCATTCACCTGTTACTTTACTAAACTAATGCTGGAAACTGCAGACAAATCACTATTTCACAGAGAGAAGATGCTTCAAAGCAGCAAATCGCAGTAGCACCAAGCTCAGATATATAGAGAGGCAGCTACTAGTCTTCATGTGAGTAGCTTTATTAAAATCAGATTAATAAATTCCACCAAGCCCAACTTGAGATCCACATAACAATGTGATGCATAACAATTAGTTTTGTAACTGCATGGCATCAGCAGAAATTGTTTTAGTACCCAGCCATTAGAATGATCTACACACATTTACTTTACCAGTTGATATTCCTAGCCATTAGAATGATCTACACACATTTACTTTACCAGTTGATATTCCTAGCCATTAGAATGATCTAGACACATTTACTTTACCAGTTGATATTGGTGGGAAGACTTGGTTTGGTCTCTATTGTTTGGATTTATAACGTCATTATTCAAAACAATTTACATATATTAGTATTTGTACAGTCATCAAAACACATTAAACACTAGAATTTTCTAACTGAGCGTAAACATGAATAGTTCTAAATAAAAAGGGAACACAACTTCATAACAATTAGGTTGCGTTGCATTACATTGTTACTTTAATGCAGTATTGTTCTAAGTACCATAACCACTATAGCTTATCACAGTAATTAGGAAACCTGTCTATGAAACTTGCCGTTTCAATTCCCTCACATTTTCTTAAATTTTATGTTATCTTAAAGGGAATCTTTAGTGTTAGGAATGCAAGTCAGATTGACATCACCAGCTCTACTGGTAAGGTGCTTGCAGTGTCCCTTTAACTCTGTTTGGTGCATAACCAAGACATAGCTTAATCTCTTCAGTAGGCCAGGTCTGAATCAAAGGAAGCTTGTGAGGGCCATTACATATAATCTGCACATTAAAGTCAATATATGGGGACAGTAACATTTTATACATGGTTCAATTGTGAGGCTGTCAGGTTTGAATGCTGACTTTTACTATACTCTGAAAGATTAGTCGGCAGCTTCCAGAAAACATTCTACAAAGTTGGAGGTCAGTTGAAAGTGCCTATAGTTTGCTGCACAGAATATCACGGTCTAAGTGGACTTTCCATTTAAACCGGTCTCCAGATGTAAAGCTAGAATAGCATTTAGAAAGATGCCAGGAGAGCACAAAAATTTAACAGGTGAGAATAAGTGTCACAGATCTGGAGTCGCCGCGCACTGTGTAACCAGGAAAGAAATGAAAATGAACAATGTAAAGCAGTGTCCGACGAGCAGAGGCACAGTGAGAAACTTACACCTCTGGGCGAGCCTGCAGCTTGAACTTCTCAAGAATTTCTTCTGTGCCATTGTTTATAGATCTGTTTTTCACTCCAGCCTGATAGATGTAAAATCCTTTCCCTGACTTACGGCCTAGATAAAAAAAACAAAAAACACAAGAATAGCAAATACTTTGTCATGTAGAAACAAAATACAGGAAGAAGTGAGCTAAAAGCAGTTTTTAAAAATTGCCACACCCCCTTGGTGAGGTTTACGCAAAGACAGTAACTTATCACACACCTCCAAAGTGTGTAGTAATGGGGTATTTATTTTACATACAATTTCAGTACACACCAAGCGCGTGGAACTCACAATAAAAGTGGCCCAAAGGTCGCCAGGGTTTTTGTGAATACACAGCTAAATTAAATGTCACACCAAGCACCATAAGCACTCTGCATTCCCTCACCTGTGTATAAACTGACTGGCAGCTATTTAGCAATAGTGTGAGTATTGGACTACTCTTTGAGGATGGGGAGATTGAAGAGTCTCATCCTGGTGAACTTTGCACCAAGGGATACTTTCTAAAGGTTAATGGACTTATTTGCTCATTTATATAAAGCAAAAAAAAAAAACCCACACAAATATACATACATACATACATACATATAAATATATACACACACAGATTTTACATTTATGTATAGATTTACAGAGTTTTTTGTGAAGTCACAGTGCCAAGTTTTAGAACTTCTTACTTCACTTTCCAAGTGTGAAACGGATTCTGTGACTAGCATCATATTTAACATTCTACCCTTGTTTATTACCCCTTCAACTGTATACCAATAACTGCATGGGAGAGGCTTGAGGTGTTTATACAGTGGTGATTTAATTTAAGGCAGGGACAATGTCGAATCATTTCTATGGACATCACCGGTCAAACAAGACTTTTTTAGGACACAACTGATAAAATCTTATTAATCAGTGAGATAATCAACTAGTTGTACATGCTATAAGAGAAACACTGTGTGAGAGGCAGAATGTAGGAGTCTGAATAGGTTCAGTAAGGGGCTGTCACATTGAGATGCAGGTAACCAAGCGAGGAAATAACAAAGTCCCTCAAATTGCAGGTGCTGTTGGAATGATAACTTTGTACAAGTTGCGTCATGGAAAAGGTCTCAAAATGCTCAGTTTTTAGCCCCATCTGAAAACTTACCCAAGAATCCTTTAGCTACCATAGCTTTCAACAGCTCAATGTTTCCTCCACCAAATCTTTCTCCAAAAGCTTTTCCAAGGTCCTCAGCAACATGAGCTGCCACATCAATGCCCACTTCATCAGCCAGCGTGGAAGCACCCACTGGAAAACCAAAGCCAGTCGAGAGGGCATCCAACTTCTTGGGGTCAACACCTTCCTAAGAGTGAAAAATCAAAGGCAGAATAGCTTGAAGTTAAAATTCATATATGAAAACAGCACACAATCCCCTCCAGCGAATGCATATGTATAAGCTCCTTACGCAGACTTTGAATTTAAGTAACGTTTAACAATTACAAAGTCCACTGCTCCTCTGCCATCCCACTGCTTTCCTTTCAGATGGGATGGGAAAAAAAAGAGGTTACTCCTCAAGACAAATGTCATGTGATATAGATATATAAAAAAGTGGTTTAGTTTTTTGTTTTTTTTTAGATTGGTAGACATTTTAAACCATTAAAAAGAGACTCACCTGAAGAACACGGACTACCTCTGCCATCATCGGACCCAGACACCTGGTGGTATAGAAGCCTGGTCCATCCTGAAATCGTATTAAGAGAGGAATCGGTTTGCACATTTCTATTGCTCAGCCAAAAACAATTAAAATAAATTGCTCACAATGTGAAACAAAAATGATTGGTTAGGAGATGAATGTTCTAAAAGAACAAGGAAAAGTAACTTATTCCAGGGCTTAACAGAACCAATAATGGGTTATGAGAGTTCTCAAAGACTACATACCTTCACAACAATAATGACTTTTCCCTGTTTAAGGCCGACGGACACAGCTGAAGCCGTGGTGTCCTTGGACGTTTTGTCTGTGGTGATTATCTCTAGTAGCTGCATCTTGTCCACCGGGGAGAAATAGTGCATTCCTATTACCTGGAACAAAGTGACACGAATAAGACATAATTTCCCTCCAACTAACTATAATCAAAATTCTCAATACCTATACTTTATACTTCTTAACACATGAATCACCAATCAACTGGCATTCTGTCCACTGGCACGTCCTTCGATAGGAATGACAGATCAGGAGGAACAGTGATGCTAATGGAGAGAATTAGTTTTGGATGTTGAAGGCAGACTTAAAATGGAAAGAGGGCTGCTGTTCTCACCTTATCCGGCCTTTTACTGGCGGCGGCGATTTGTGAAATGGGGAGAGCAGACGTATTACTGGCGAAAATACAGTGTGGAGGAACAACCTGGAAGAAAAATGTATAGAAAGTTAATTTGCAGAAAAAATAAATAAAAAAGGTGTGAACTTGCATCACGTGAATCTAGCTGAAGAAAAAGAGCAATTACAGCAACTGCAGCAGCCATGAGCTCAAACGCCTGTTCAGATGCCATTTTTATATTCTTTCCACACGACCAAATACTTAATCAGTGCCAATGCTGTCAGAATGCTTAGCGCCAACATTAAAACATTGTGACATGTTCTCAGAATAAGAATAGACACTTACAGCTTCCACTTCCTGCAGCACCCGGTGTTTAATGCGGATATCCTCAAACACAGCTTCAATCACCATGTCTGCCGTCTCAAAGCCCTTATAATCCAGCTGCCCGGTCAGGTTACTAATCAGACTGTCCCGCTCAAAGGACGTCAAGTTCTTCTTCCTCACTTTATCGCTCAGGCTGCGGGAAGGTATAGGACAGAACACAAATGTCACGGATCGAAAATACGAAGCTAATTCTACCTCTGAATAGAGTAATCACCAAAACGCCACGTCCAAGATTATAGCAGATTATTAGAACTGGACAGTTTTTATTCACATTTTATCTATAGGTGTCTTCATCTGGCGCCATATCCTCCTTCCATAATGCTGGAGACTGAGGCACTATCGGTGGGTCCACTAACAGTGGAGACAAGAATCTATACCGGTTGGTCGTGTAAGTGCATACCACTATTGAATAGTAATTTATAGATTACGTATTGCACTATCCGCTTCTTTTTTTCTCTGTATGTACCAACACATTAAGAGTTGTTAGATTAACTGCATTCAGATAACCCTGTGGGGGGTGGGGAACAGGCCTGAGAATGATTCTCTCACCTCCTCCTTTTGCCATTTTTGGGCGTATTGCATTTCTTTTGTTTGGTCTTTTCTCAGATATCCTACTGTGGTTCTATGTTCATGTACACCCAACTATCAGGTTGGATTCATGTATTTTGCTCACCTTGCGCTCGTCTTGCGTACTTTATCCTCCATATTTATAAATATTTTATTAGCTAAAACTGGACCACAAGTTGGAGCAAGTCAACTCTTTTTAGGAGTTTTTTTTTTTCTAATCACAAATAAAATCAAGAACACTGGAAAACAGATCCAAATGGGAAAAAAGTTCCACCCTATTTTTACAGCTTACCCTTTGAAGACTTGCTGCTGTCCTCTGCCCAGACCTTCAACTGTTGTGTCTTTCAGAATAGTATTTAGCCCTTTATCCACAGACACTTGGGCAATCCCAGCTCCCATGAGTCCAGCACCGAGGATAGCCAACTTCCTGCACAGAGCAAAAGGGACTTTTACAATAATGCATACATGCCTGTCACCACTAATTTCAAAAGCACTTTCACAGCTTGTCCTAGAGCAAGGATTGGCAACCTTTGGTACTCCAGATATTGTGGACTACACCTCCCCTGATGCTTTGCCAGCATTATAGCTGTATTGGGAGATGAAATATCCGGAGTGCCAAAAGTTACCTACTCCTGTCCTAGAGAGTCAGAGAGGGGAGCGGAAAGACAAACTGAGCACCATTATACTAACGGAGTAAAAGTGAATAAATCACTCAACGCACCCACATACCGACATGAATTACCAGCAATTTGGTGCCTGCAACCTTGTATAAAAGTATATGTTTCAAGCCTTAACGCCATCTTATTTTCAACAGGAAACAAACATGACTGAGCAACGACTAACTTATTCTTCACAATGCCGTCCCACCACTCATCTCCACAAATCAATCATTCGGTCAGTGACATGACTTGTCCACTTACGCAACTTCTTTCTGAGGAGCTCCAAACTTATTCTTCTTGCAGAGAACCTGGCCGTGGTACAGGCCAATTAGTGCTTTGGACTCGCTGGTCATTCCAAGCTCACCAAATTTCTGAAGACAAACAAAAGGTAAGGTTTTGTGAGAGAAAGTGGGGATGTCCAACTAAAGTACTAAACAAAGCATTCTTCCAATGAAACAACCTAGGACAATCACGCTGGAAGACAAGGAGCAAGACAGCTAATAAATGCAGCACTATACCTGAGACTCTGCAAGATAGCCAGCATCCGATCCCTGCTCCAGTCCAGTCTTCACTACCTGGCATCAAATAAAATGGGAGAATCAATATACACAAACCTCTGACATGAATCTCTACTCAGAAGGCATTTTACACTGAGCCAGACACAGCTAACTAAACATAGATCCAGTTTGTAGTGTCTGTGAACACTAGTTATACACCTTCCAAATACACGAATCCTTCATAGCTAGAAGGAACATGAACTAATCCGTCGATATTACCAGCGCTATAAATAGCTATAGTCAAGACAGTGCATCTATGGGTTCCATATTTAGCAACTGATTTTGTATTGCGTATCTAAAAGTATTTCAACAATCAGAAATCATACAGAGGGAGCATGTCTCATAGACCAATTTCTAATGATTATTAAAGGGACACTATAGTCACCAGAACAACTACAGCTTATTGAATGTGTTCTGGTGAGTAGAATCATTACCTTCAGGCTTTTTGCTGTAAACACGGTCTTTTCAGAGAAAATGCAGTGTTTACATTACAGCCTAGTGATAACTTCACTGGCCACTCCTCAGATGGCTGTTAGAGATCCTTCCTGGGTCATGGCTGCCTAAAATGCATCCAAACATTCAGTGTCTCCTCCCTCTGCATGCAGACACTGAACTTTCCTCATAGAGATTCATTTATTCAATTCACCTCTATGAGGAGATGCTGATTGGCCAGGGCTGTGTTTGAATCATGCTGGCTCTGCCCCTGATCTGCCTCCTTGTCAGACTCAGCCAATCCTATGGGGAAGCAATGTGATTGGATCAGGCCACCACTTCTGATGTCAGCAGACTGTTTTTCTGAGTCTAACAGCATGCAGAGTTACAGCTTCTGGCTTGAATACAGTAAGATTTTATTATATTTATGGAGGCATGAGGGACCCAGGGGGGTTAGATGGTGGTGTTAACACTATAGGGTCAGGAATACATGTTTGTGTTCCCGACCCTATAGTGCTCCTTTAAATATCCCTATTAATATCTCCTGTTTAAACAAAACAGAACCTTCCAAAATCAGATGTTCTAAGCTACACATTACTTAACATACCTCAATAATTTTGAGGGGTGCAGGATAAAGCCCTTTTGTCTGCTTCTTAACCTTTTTTTCCACAGTATTGTAGATTTGCTGCCTTACAAATGGTACAGACATGACGTAGTCGGTGATCTCTGAAAGACAAGGAGACAGACACCATAAGAAATTCACTATAGAAACAAAATCTTCATATCAATGAGGAAAGAAAGAAGGAATAGATTTCAAAATACCAAGACAGGCCTGATGGCTATTAAGACAGCTGCAGACCAGCACTTCCAGATAATTCTAACAAACAGGATTTTCCACTGAAAAGTGAATTGTTGTGGATTCAAAGAACAAAATATATTGAATAGAAACAGGCGACTTGGAGAATGTTTCAGTTCAGCCAAAGCGGCCTAAAACTCTAAATTCACTCAATTACTGACAATTCACACGTTAATAAATAACTCTGGTAATCTTTCCCACAAGCAGTAATTGCAGGAAAGTGTCTAATTGAGAGCAATAGCAATGTAGAATTGGGATTGCTTTTGGTGAAAGGAAGTATTTAAAATTGACCCTCCAGGAATCCTTTCTAGTGTCTGGATGTCACCTTTCCTGAGACCACGTAGGGAATCATGAGAGCAAAGACGTGCCAATATAGTGTAATAAATGGAGAGGTGGAGAGTGCCAATATAGTGCAATAAATACACCTACTATGGCGTCACGCCACACCAGAATATATATAGTGCAATAAATACACCTACTATGGCGTCACGCCACACCAGAATATATATATAGTGCAATAAATACACCTACTATGGCGTCACGCCACACCAGAATATATATATAGTGCAATAAATACACCTACTATGGTGTCACGCCACACCAGAATATATATATAGTGCAATAAATACACCTACTATGGCGTCACGCCACACCAGAATATATATAGTGCAATAAATACACCTACTATGGCGTCACGCCACACCAGAAAATATATATATATTGCAATAAATACACCTACTATGGCGTCACGCCACACCAGAATATATATATATTGCAATAAATACACCTACTATGGCGTCACGCCACACCAGAATATATATATATATTGCAATAAATACACCTACTATGACGTCACGCCACACCAGAATATATATATAGTGCAATAAATACACCTACTATGGCGTCACGCCACACCAGAATATATATATATATATAGTGCAATAAATACACCTACTATGGCGTCACGCCACACCAGAATATATATATAGTGCAATAAATACACCTACTATGGCGTCACGCCACACCAGAATATATATATATATTGCAATAAATACACCTACTATGGCGTCACGCCACACCAGAATATATATATATTGCAATAAATACACCTACTATGACGCCACGTACCACACCACCAGAATATATATAGTGCAATAAATACACTCCACTATACACACCACACCAGAATATATATATATATATATAGTGCAATAAATACACACCTACCATGCATGCCACGCCACACCAGAATATATATATATAGTGCAATAAATACACCTACTATGGCGTCACGCCACACCAGAATATATATATATATAGTGCAATAAATACACCTACTATGGCGTCACGCCACACCAGAATATATATATATATTGCAATAAATACACCTACTATGGCGTCACGCCACACCAGAATATATATAGTGCAATAAATACACCTACTATGGCGTCACGCCACACCAGAATATATATATATATTGCAATAAATACACCTACTATGGCGTCACGCCACACCAGAATATATATATAGTGCAATAAATACACCTACTATGCGTCACGCCACACCAGAATATATATATAGTGCAATAAATACACCTACTATGCGTCACGCCACACCAGAATATATATATATTGCAATAAATACACCTACTATGGCGTCACGCCACACCAGAATATATATATAGTGCAATAAATACACCTACTATGCGTCACGCCACACCAGAATATATATATAGTGCAATAAATACACCTACTATGGCGTGACGCCACACCAGAATATATATAGAGCAATAAATACACCTACTATGGCGTCACGCCACACCAGAATGAATATATATATATAGTGCAATAAATACACCTACTATGGCGTCACGCCACACCAGAATATATATATAGTGCAATAAATACACCTACTATGGCGTCACGCCACACCAGAATATATATAGTGCAATAAATACACCCACTATGGCGTCACGCCACACCAGAATATATATAGTGCAAAACGTAAAAACAAGTGAAGGTGTACATGCACAAACTAAATGAACACACAGCAAATACTTCTACCAACCCTGGAAAATATACATATTACAATCCAGGAAGTTATGAAGTCTCATGGAGTTAGCAGTGTAGTTTAATGAAAACACAGAAAGCTTTCAAAAAGAAGCTGAAAGGCTAACACAGGCCAGGGTTTAAGTTTATGTGGGACGTAAATTTAAAGTTTGACCTCTAGACCAACACAAACTAAAGTCACTTGGATCATTCGCATGGAAACCATATGTATGATGACATGGGTGGTGGTGGGTGTAGGTGTGTTTTACTCAAAAGTATCACTTAAAATGAATTACTATGCCCCCCGTCCCAAACTAAAAACTAGCCTCCTTTAGCCCCATTCCCCCATACTCTGATACACCGCACCCTCCCCCCAATTTAACACACTGCCACCCCCAATCTAACACATTGCCCCCACTCCCACCCCCCTAATTGAATACATTGTCCTCCCCTCCCTGCCCCCAGATTGAATACACTACACAAAGGTTCCTACAAACCCCTTTTCCCCTCCCTCAAGCAGTCTTCCAGTCTAGCCCTGCATGATCTCTGCTTAAGGAGGCCACAGGCTCCTCTGGCACTGCAAGGAGCAGGTAAGGGGGAGTGGCTGGCCTGCTCTGCACGCCACCAGCCTCTCTGCACACTGTAGCACTGCAGCCAAAAAGGACTCTATACAATGGAGCATGTGATTGGCTGCAGCCCACGGGAGGGCCGCAGCACAAAGCGGCCCCGTGGCAGTATCCCAGTAGGCCAATCTTGCCCTGGGCTGCAAAGAGACATTGTGGGCCGCAGGTTTGACATGCTTGACCTACAAGGTTAGATCCTGTCAAAAGTGACCGAGTAGAATCTAAGAAAAGAAAAGGGAAGTCAAAGTGCCTGTTAATGCAGCATGCTCAGCAAACCACGTCACCCAGTGTGGCCACATGGGACAATATTTCAAGACATATTGACCAAAAAGATGCACCCTGTGTCTTACTCTTTATCAGCCCTTTGTCTTTCTTTAAGGAGATCTTCTTGTTGGCAATGCCTCTAGCATATTCCACTGCCACCTCTTCCAGGTACTCAATGGTTCCTTCTTCTGGACTCTTCAGGCCAGGGCCTATTAGAAAGTAGGAGGGCAAAATCGTTTAGAACTTAACACTATAAATACCTTATTGCAGCCTGGCCCTGGAAATGGCAAGCTATAAACCCATACATTATGTGGTTAAACGAATTTAATTGAAGGATCAGGAACAGGTGAGATCTTCAGTTAATGAAGAGACTATGGCTTCCACAAGCACTAGAATAGTTTGTTTCCCATTAAATTACATATTTTTTTTAAGATTATAAACTTTTTGGGGACATCATTTACAGTAATTACAGTTACAATCTGTTTTTTTTAAAGCAGTCGGTCCCACAGTAGTTGTCCAGGTTCATGGAGGCTCCACGGGTAACAGCCACAGCCTACACTACTTGGCCTAAAGCCATAAAGCTCTGGATAAAAGATTCAAAAGAAAGAAAACTCACCAAGAGGATCGACTAGCTGGTCAACTAAACCCATCTTCCTGGCCTTGTCAGCCCGGATGTTTCTCCCAGTCAGCATCATGTCAAAGGCTGTGGGAAGACCAACCTAAAGAGGCAGATCATGGGTAAAATAGCAACCAGTCCATCCGTAGCAGTTTCATGGCTGCTTATTATAAATTCCTTAAATACCAAAACACATCTCATTAGGCTATCCATTGCAATAATACTGTTCTCATCTCATTAGGCTATCCATTGCAATAATACTGTTCTCATCTCATTAGGCTATCCATTGCAATAATACTGTTCTCATCTCATTAGGCTATCCATTGCAATAATACTGTTCTCATCTCAAGAATATTTAAATGGAAATGGCCACTCCTCAGGATTTTTTTTTTATCTATATGTTTACGGATATCCTACGTTCAGCAATTAGGATTGTGAGCTCTGAAATATAAAATTAAATGTAAATTCACACTTCTATTCTGTAACATAGTGCCTCCCTCTAAGCCCTGTCAATCCCTTTCTTCCTCTGAACATAGTGGAAAAGTTCAAACAATGTTTAAATGGATTATATTACTAACATAGTACTGTATGTTTTAGCTGTGGCTGAATTGAACTGGATTATACTGTAATACGACTTCTAAATGCTATCGTATACAATCAAAAGAATACAATACAGAAAGACGGGTAACCCGAGATACACAGAATGGTCAATCCTTTATTCAAGAGAGTCACCAGCGCAGAAGGAGCCCGGCGCTGGATAAAGGTAAGTAGCTGAAGGAGTTTTAACCCCTTCAGCGACACAGGAGGGGGACCCTGAGTGTGAGGGTCCCCAAAGGATGACAGTGTCAGGAAAACTGTTTTTTTTTCCTGACACTATAGTGATCCTTTAATTTGCAATATTACCAGTAGGTGGTGCTCTTGCACCAACACATTTTATATTATTTTTCCTGCTCCTTGCTTCTAACTGGTGTATAAAAACAATATTTAGTGGCTGTTCATACACCAAATCAACCCCCCCCCCCCATTGTTTTTGTTGTGCCACGTACAGAATCCAGACTCACAAATCAAACAGTTTCTCGCACTTGCCGTTTTGTTAATGTCGTGATATGTCCTTATAGTGTTTCAGAGTTTGGGGTTTTGGACAAACTGCTGATCGGCCAAAATTATGACAAATCGCAATTTGTTGGAAACCGAATGTAAGAGTCTACTTATCAGCTAAACTGGTTAATGGAATGGACACAGCAGGTACCGGTCATTCCAGTGTCTTGAGGGACTGTAGAATAGATCAAGGCTGTTTGAAGCTTGTCTGAACGGTGATGGCTTTTCCAAATGTAAACACCGAGCAATGAATCTGTTTAGTTAAAGGACCACTATAGTGCAAGGAAAACATACTTGTTTTCCTGGCACTATAGTGCCCTGAGGGTGCCCCCACCCTCAGGGTCCCCCTCCCGCCCGGCTCTGGAAGGGGGAAAGGGGTAAAAACGTACTCTGAAACTGCTATGTTTATTAAAAAATGGGTTAACCCTAGATGGACCTGGCACCCAGACCACTTCATTAAGCTGAAGTGGTCTGGGTGCCTAGAGTGGTCCTTTAAGAATGGCTTAAAACCAGAAACACTAACAAGGTTATTTACTACAATGAGAATTTTAACGTTAAGGACAGAGTAGCTGAACTGGAAGCTTTGCGGGCTTGTGAGTTAACAGAATCTTTCCTGTTTAACCATTTTGATCTTAAATGTAGAAATCCAGACAGAATTCTCACTTTAGTGTCCTGTCACTAGCCATTGCAGCTCACTTACCATTTTAGGTAGTCTCTGAGTTCCTCCAGCCCCTGGCAGCAGTCCAAGCAGAACTTCAGGAGTCCCAAGGACGGTCTTCTTGTCCTTTGTCGCCACTCTGTATTGACAAGCAATGGCCACCTATGTACAGCACAAATTTATATTAGATACCAATTACAGAACTCCATCAACAGAATAACATATTACAGCACAGAGACACGGCCGTAGAGAAGTACAATTATTTACAATGAGGTGGAACAACCTACAAAGGTTAAAGGGTCACTCCAGTGCCAGGAAAACAAATAGTTTTCCTGGCACTGCAGGTCCCCTCACCCTACCACCACCCATCCCATGTTGCGGAAGGGGTGAAAACCCCTTCAGCGACTTACCTGAAACAGATGTCCCTCGGCGGTGGTTTCGGGTCCGCCCATGCTCCTCCCCCGCCATCATCCGGCGGGGAGACCGATCGCGCATGCGCAGCCGCGGGAGACCTAATGCACATGTGCGGCAATGCCGCGCGCACATATATTAGACTTCTCCATAGGAAAGCATTGAAAATTGGAGAAATATGGCGAATTGAGCGACATAGCGTGAGGATGTCCAGCAATGCTCTAACACAGAAAACCTGTGCTAGAAGCCAGAAAGTGACCTCTAGTGGCTGTCTAGTAAACATCCACTAGTGGAGGAGTTAACCCTGCAATGTAATTATTGCAGTTTATGAAAAGGGTCGTGGGAGTTGGTACCCAGACCACTCCAATGGGCAGAAGTGGTTTGGGTGCCTGCAGTGTCCCTTAAAGGCATCCATCTGAAAAGTGTTCCGGTTTCCTTTTACCAAAGGAAAGTAAACATTTGAGGAGGTTTTGGATAGTAACGTCACTTTAATTCTAATTTCTATTGGCATACAGCAGATATGTGATATGCATTGTGAGTTTACACATCAAAGCACTAACTTTAATTGTTTAGTTTTGACACTGCATTTTTTTTTGAATCCCATTACTTTTGCCATATATAACAATGCTCTTACAATAAATTATTAAAATACTGTAACGAATCACCTGGCACCCCGACTGGGTACCTCTGTTGAAGGATGCTCCTAGCGCTTCCTGAGGACTCCAAGCACTGCAGCAGACACCACAAGCACCGAACCGGAGAAGCATACAAATGCTCTCAAGCATTTGAATGCTGTAAGCAGCTGAACAGGAAAAGCATACAATCCAATTCCCCCAATAACGAGACGACACTTCGTTTTGAGGTCAAGCAGAACCCGATTTACTGGGGCTAACTGCCCGGCTTTTATGCAGGTCTCCCACCTGGTGGACACTCCCCTAGGGGACCAGATGGGAGACTGGGACACAAAGGGTACAAGAACCAATCACAGACTTACACATTTCAACCATCCCACAATGCATCACAATCCCTCCTCTCTATCCTGGAGATAATTGGGAAGTAATCCAATTATCTCCAAGGACAGAGGCAAAACTCCATTACACACATTTTCAGTAAGAGACATAAAATTACATACAGTTATTTATTACATAAAAAATATACATTATACATATCCCCAGATAGCTTAGATCTGAGCGCACATTACTACCGAATGGCGCTCAGATCACATACATACTTTTCAATCGCCATGGAGCCAAAGTCTTTCACAGTCTCCATGGCTTAGCTATCTGGGGTGATGCTGTTCATCCGGTTAAACTACCAAATGAACAGTCATTTGGTTCCGCTACCGAACGGAGAGGTAAGGAGGCTGGCGGCTCAGCGTTGTTCGCGCCAATAAGTGTCCGTTTTCAGTTCCATAGTTTGGGCGCTGAACACCGCTGGCCGCCCGGGAGGTAAAATGGCCACTGCCACGTGTTCGGCAACCGAACAAAGGCCACCCAGCGTTCATCAATTAAGCTGCGGTTAACCGCAGCTTCTGGGCGGTCAATTGACAGCACACTCCAGTTCCCCGGTGGTCCATCGTTCAGTAGTTTGTTCGGTAGATTCAATCTACCGAACACCCCAGCAGAAAGGCACGAATAAACCTTTCAGCAGGGAAAACAACAGGTTTGAACTGCAGAGCCATAGTCTAAAGGGAGCAGGCGCGCAATCAGGCTTCTCCAGTGCATAGTGGCGAGGTTGATTCCGCCACAAAGACACTAACTTATTTAGCACTATTCAATTTGTCTCCCACGTTGGAATTAGCATAGTACCCACCGATACTGGGGCACTGGGATGTAAGTAGTGTAGTACCCACAGATATTGGGGTACTGTGAAGAACTGTTAGGCTTAAAGGACCACAATAGTGCCAGGAAAACAAACTCGTCTTCCTGGCACTAGTGTTAATAGGTCCCTCCAACCCTCATGACCCCCCTCCTGCCAGGCTTTAGGGGGAGGAAGGGGTTACAGGCTTACCTTTCTCCAGCGTCAAGCTCGCTCGGCGTTGGGGACTCTCCTCCCTCTTCCGACGAATGCGCATGCACAGCAAGAGTCGCGCGCATTCAGTCCATAGGAAAGCATTTCTCAATGCTTTCGTATGGACGGTAGCATCTTCTCACTGCAATAAGTCTGTGAAAAGTCAATGAGACAGCCACTAGAGGCTGGATTAACCCCAATGTAAACATAGCAGTTTCTCTGAAATAGCTTTGTTTACAGCAGGCAGGGTTAACACTAGAGGGACCTGGCACCCAGGCCACTTCATTGAGCTGAGCTATAGTGGTCCTTTAACACAATATGGCCGTATGGTGGAACTGAATCCCCATACTTGTTTGCTGAGATAGGAGATATTTAGTACCATTATAAAAGGTTATCTTGCTCTGCACTGTCCTTTAATCTGTATTTTGTACCAGCTCTGGGAGTTCTTACGCCCTTTTGTGACATTAATGTACAAGGTCAATCACTAATACAGTGACTGCTGATGTACAGGGTACAGCATTTGTTTAAATCCCTCCCAGACTGGAGTCTCGTTCCTCAATAATAATGCAGTCCAACAATAGATCCTCACATACTGCCCTAGTTATCTGATCACAGTAGCACCAGGTCACATTGATGTCAGAAATTAAACAGTTTGTGGCATGCCAATGGTAATATAAGCTGGGCTACTAGATGCTTCGAGCAGGAGATATTAATCAATAGCTTTCTACAGGCTGTCCTGGCATCACTCCAAGCTGCAGGTAGGGTCTGTACCTGATATATGCCATGAACAGTGTGTACCAGGGAACCACTGAGGCAGGCAATCAATACTTCTTAAATCAGCCCAAAGCAGAGTGATCACCACGGGAGCCAACAACACACAGCTAAGACAATGTGGAGACGGTGACTAGCTTACACAGTAAAATCACATATCCTGATTGTCAAGCTATGGTTATTGTTTGAGGTTAGAAATACCATGCAAGTTTGAAGCCTGTCAGATGGTGTCACTATATAGCTTCTCTAGGAAGCAAGCAATCAGGCATGTAAAAACAAGGCCATGTCAACAATTTAAACTGATACTTTCCCCAAAAATCTGATCAAGCTATAAACACGAGGTATTGTACCTCAAGAAACCGTAGAATACCAACCCGGGGTCTTTAAAGCAGTCGGATACACATGGCCTGTAACATTCACCATTAAAAGCACAATATGTATATAAGAAATAAAATTAAAATAAAAAACACAGATTTTCCTTAACAGAAGGGGAAACCTGTAAATAACATGTACGGAAGCTTTGCACAGTGTCAGTCCATGCAGGAAGAATTGTCTGTTTGCAATCAGTTGTCCACTAGTGCAATCTGGGGTTCTATGTCTCTAGACTCGAGTTTAAGTTACCATAAAAAAAAAAAAAAAAAAATAGAACAAGAAAAATAACACTTTTCAGCTCAGTCTGTCGATGGCCAACATAGAAATTGCCATTTAAAGGCCATGCCACAGTACATACCTCCAGCCCTCCACCCAGGCAGGAGCCATTGATTGCAGCCACAATAGGTTTGGGAGATTTCTCCAGCTTTTCGAACATTTTCTGCCCCTCCTGAGACAGCCTTGTTATTTCTTGAGGGGTTTTACAAGCTTCAATCATACTGCAAACAGAGAGATTGTCAGAAAATGGTTGAAACGGCACACTTATACAGCTCAGTCAGTCACCCTTCTATAGTTTAGGAAAGACTCACTTTATGTCGGCCCCAGCTATGAAGCACCCAGGTTTAGAAGAAATAAGCACGGCACTTTTAACGGCATCATTGGCCCAGATTTCATTCATAACGTCATTGAATTCACTCTGCAGCTGTTCAGACAGTGTGTTCACCTGAAAGGATACAGAATTATACCACGCATGGAAACAGGAGCACAGCAAAACATGGGGAATAAGAGACAAGAATCTAATGGCAATAGCAGAATATTTTATGGGACCGATATAAATCTACCCTAATCTTTAACAGATCTAGGATCAACCACCTAGTTATAAGATTTGGAAGAGCGGTTTAAACCTGATTTATGGCATAATTGTGAAAATGCTCAGTGAAAGGTTTTCATGGTCACAAACCTGATGTAAGGCCTGGGCAGGGCACCTGCCAGACTAGGTTAGGCAATGGCTGAACAGATACCAGCCAGACTAGGTTAGGCAATGGCTAGACAGCTACCCGCCAGACTAGGTTAGGCAAAGGCTAGACAGCTACCCGCCAGACTAGGTTAGGCAATGGCTAGACAGCTACCCGCCAGACTAGGTTAGGCAATGGCTAGACAGCTACCCGCCAGACTAGGTTAGGCAATGGCTAGACAGCTACCCGCCAGACTAGGTTAGGCAATGGCTAGACAGCTACCCGCCAGACTAGGTTAGGCAATGGCTAGACAGCTACCCGCCAGACTAGGTTAGGCAATGGTTGTACAGATACCCGCCAGACTAGGTTAGGCAATGGCTGGACAGATACCCGCCAGACTAGGTTAGGCAATGGCTGGACAGATACCCGCCAGACTAGGTTAGGTAATGGCTGGACAGATACCCGCCAGACTAGGTTAGGTAATGGCTGGACAGATACCCGCCAGACTAGGTTAGGTAATGGCTGGTTAAGAAAACTCTTGAGTGAAGCCAACCAGTACCTGTATATGGGAAGGCTAGCACTGGCAATGTCAGCTAAAACCTGGTAACAGACGAGGTCACCAAAACACAAAAGACTCACCTTGGAATTTGGGGTGTTAAAGTGAACGACGGCCACATCTTCTTTAAGCTCATAATTTACATGTGTTCGTGCTAATGAGACAATACAGAAAAAAATTAAATAAAAAGACGTTTCATGCAGAAGCTTAACAGTAGCAGGTACAGAGCAGGGTGTGGGGCCGTGTGTTACTTACATAATACTGAAGAAGTCGTTGAGAGCTGTCTGCAACTGTAACCTGTGGAAGAAAGAAGATAAGGTTACGTAACCTGATGGGATGAAATAACTTGGCTCACACTTTTAGTATACAGGTGTAGAATCACCTTAGCTGTATATGTACTGCCCTACATGGCTTCCGCCCAACTACACTGTTAAATCCATTCATAGTATCTGCAATGCACGGCCAGGGAGTGACCTCAGTGTCGTTCGTCTTTAGTGCAGGACAGTTACATATTCATATATCCAAATATTACAGCCAGCAATGTAGAATACAGGCATGTCATATGTACTCTCCATAGACGGCATAATGTGCACACATTACGGATTTTATATTATGAGAGGAATAGGGAACAGCTGAAAACAAACATGCATATAGGGGAGTGAATTAACTTAAGCCCTTCCCACAATTACAGTCCAAATGGCCTTAATACTGGTGTTACGGGCAAATGGCCGTATATGGAGTAAGGTTCAACTAAGAACGTAGAATAGTATAAAAGAGCGGTTGTGGTGTGCCAAGACCAACGATATGGTAGGCCTGTCCATAAAGAGGGAAAAAAAGTGAATATTCAAAAGATTTAATACAGTCAAATATATACAATTATCCAGACATTTCTTTAAATGCATTTCTTAATTATTGTGTTTAGGTATGTAAGTCGTAGATGCGGATGATTTCCAATGTCCCAGAGATTTTTTGATGTGCACTGGTATGTTGGCGCTGGAAGCTGTGGGAGGCCGCCCCTATGCGAAAGGAGTGACCCGAGTAGTGAAGTGTTAAAACCTAGCATGGTGAGCAGGGATCGTATGTATTTCATGAAAGTAGTGGTAGTGAGTACAGAGCCTTGTAGTGCGAATAAATGTTGTGATGGTAGGGATGTGGAAAGTAGAAGGTAGGAATTTAGAGCCGCCACTGGACACCATTTGTTTTGGGTAGGGTAATAAGAAGTGATCTCCACTGGAGGTGCATTTTGGCTTGTTTATGACTGGGGTAGTGCCAGTATGTAGTGATCTATGTGTTTGAGTAGGTGTGTGCATAGAAGGCATCTGTGTCTGAGTGGTGGTGATAGTAGTGAATTCTCTTGGCCTGAGGAAACCGTAGAAGCCTATGTACATGGCAGCTTTGATGACTGTGTTGGTGGTAAAGTGGAAAGGTTTGGAGTCTAATTGGTTGGATAATGACTGCAAAAGTGTTTTATCTATAGGTAATCTCTGCGGGGAACGTGAAAGAACAGATTTCTGAATACCTCTGAGTATGTTCTTTATCTGATAAGATGACATGAAGCTATGTGTATTAGGTTGTAGTGTTAGCATGTGATGTTGATTGCCTGCAAGATATAATTTGATGGTGTTGTAAGATAAGTGTCATTTCAGATGGCAAAAAGAAGCCAAGGCTATGATAGATGTCACGACAAAAGGTTGGGATATGTCGTAGTCCGATAGAAATCTTGTGAAAAGAGTGAAGGCTCTGTTGTATGTTTTGCGAGTGTTGGATGATAGTGCCAATTTGGACAGATCCCTGCTATGTTGCATGATTAATTCTAGTCCATAGTTAGCTGTTGGAACGGAGGGGCGGCTGTGGCTGCCTGCGCGGCTGACGGGAGTGCTTGCCGAAAAGCCTGAAAGTTGAAACGAGAGACTGTCAGCTGCTATGTTACTAATGCCCGGTACATAAAAGCAGACCAAGTAGAAGTTGTGACATGCTGCTAACCATGTGAGTTTCCTGAGAAAATTCATGATTGTTAGGGATGAACGGCCTTTGTTAAATGATATGACATGTTGCTTGGTTGTCTGAGTGGCATCGGACTGACAAGCCTCACCATAAATGTCCCCACGCCACAGCAGCCGCTACGATGGGGTAAATATCAAAAAGAGCTGAGGTTGTAAAAAAGCCTCCTAAGTCATGGACTTCTTCAGGCCTCTTACCCCAAAGCCATTCGTTCCCAAAGATTGCTGCGAAATCCGTGGTAGACGCTGCGTCTGACCATATGGTTGGTGATGTGTCAGACAAACCTGGGAGGAACAAGCTTTTACCATTCCAGGTGGTCAAGAATTCTTTCCATATGTGCAGGTCTTCTGTGGCGTGCGTACCCAAGGACAGTCTATGGTTGTCGTGTCGGAAGTGCGGGAAAAGACAGAAGTCTTGATATGAAAGCCCGCCCTTGAGGGATGATGCGCATGGCAAAGTTCAAGGAACCTATGAGAGATTGCAGTTCCTTGCGGTTGCAAGTACCCAGCAAGATGTAGTTATTTATGCTGTTGAGAAGGTTTGTAATTTTATTTTGTGGTAAGCTTGCTTGCATGGATGCAGAGTCAAGTCGTATGCCCAGAAATGTAATGATGGTGTCTGGACCTTCAGTTTTCTTAGGGGATACTGGGACACCAAAGTGGTCAAACAGACTAATTGCTTCTTTGAGACTTCTGGGGGGAAAGGAGTTTTCTTAGATCAGGAAAAAGTCATCCAGATAATGGATGACTATGGGGCATCTGGAAATGTTAAGTAACAACCAGCAAAGTGATTCTGCAAATGTGTCGAAGATTTGGGGGCTACTTTTTGACCCAAAAGTTAAGCGGGAGAAAAAATAATAGTTGTCTGCCCATTTAATGCCATGTAAGTGCCAGAGTGTAGGGTGGATAGGTAGTAGTTTGAAGGCATTTGTAATGTCTGTCTTACTTAGCCAGGCTCTGACCCCTGCTTGCATGATGGCATGATCTATAGTGGCATATTGTAGGGAAAACTTTTCAGAGGGAATGAGGGAGTTGAGACTTGGGGTAGTAGAGGTATGAGGGGCTGAAAGATCTATAATGAGTCTCTGCTTAAGGGAAGATTTCCCTGTGACAATCCCAATGGGATTTGTGTGCCATGCCGTTAATGGTGGGGTATTAAAAGGCCCGAACAAAAACCCCTCTGCCAATTCTTGGGTTATGCGGATTGTAAATTTGGGCATTCAAGATGGCCTTTTGGCTTATGTATGATGCCTGTATGGAACCCCTCTGAAAATCCAGAAATGAGAAAATTTACCAGATGTCTGGAGGGGTGATTGGTCAGTAGTGCTGAGAAGACACGGAGGTTAACAGACGTTAGGTATGGTTTAGGGTACATTTTATTTGGACACATGGTTTTTGCATGTGCCCTGAAACATTGTGAACAAATATGCAATAACTTGCATGCACTAAAGCTACATGTGCCCACATTGAAATTATTGCAAATCTGGGATTTGCCAAAGAAAATGATGGGACGACCTTGTTTGTCTCTGGTGGTTTTCTCAGTTCTAGCAGCATAACTAGTGCTAGGTGACTGATTATGGTCGACTGCTGTGCTAAAACAAAAATGAGTAGTGTGGGTAGTAGAAAAGCAGGATGCACAAGCCGGTGTTTTGAGAACTGTGAAGTGTCTACAGAATATTTCCTTATCTAGTCTGCTCCAGTTGATATGGGTACCATACACCTTAGTGGAAAATTACCTATGGTAGTCATAAAAGGTTGACCCACCATATTTGTTTCCCAGGTCCACCAGTTTGTGCCTGTAACAATCAAATTCTTCCCTTCTATCAGGGTACATCACACAAATAACATCTCTAAATATTTTATATATAAAATATTTTACCAGGAAAGATACATTGAGATTTCTCTCGTTTTCAAGTATGTCCTGGGTAAATATACCAAATGCTAAAACAAATTCAGGGATGCTCAGTTTCCGGTTTAACCTGGAGTCCTTGGATCTGACCAGCACAGATATATCGTCATACATGTAAGTCTTATTCTCGACCACATCCTGGGAGGCAATTAGTAGGGATGCTAGGTTTACATCTTTGCCCTCCAGGATGTCTCTTTTAATGTGAGCTGGGATCGTGTGTGCAGGATCAACGTCCTGAGTATCTGAAGCATTCATAGTACCAGTAGCCCGTGGTTCAGTTGGTGCCTGTTGTACGTTGTCAGGAATGCCAGCCTTGGTGAGGGCTGTGGTGACCACCTCAAGGTTAGCTAGTCTGTCGTTAACCTTGCCCATGGAGTTCATGAGCAAGGCCAGCATAGCCTGTGTGAAGAATCCCCCTCCATTCATTCAGTACTTTCCCTCCCTGATACTTTATCCATGGATTTCTTACTGTGACAAAGTGCCCTTCGCCACTTGTGCCTGGAGAGGACTGCTTGCCCGCCTCTTGCCCTGTGACTATAGACCCTGGGAGATTTGGCCCGTTCAATTCAGTATGATAGGAGTTATGTATTTGTGTATCCTTTTGTGTTTTACTGGGAACATGTGCTCAATGGAGTCTGCCTCTATCCCTGGATATAATTGGATTAGGTTCCCCATTGTCTCCAGGATAGACTGCTCTGTAAAACCGGTTGGGGCCAGATAGCCATGCTGCCAGCCAGGCCCCAAAAGATACTTTACTAACTTCTGAACCCCTGGTCTGATTCATGCCATTTTTTATATGTTTCCCTGAATGGATTGATTGTGAATATATAATTTTTATGTGAATGTGATGTATATTTTAGAAGTTATGAATATGCTGTAAAAACTGTACTTTTCCTACCTGTGATAATTGCATCTTCTATTTTATAAGATAATTGAATCACAGGCAGAGGGGAGGATTTTTTGTGGGCTGTAACCTCTGTTTTATTGGCTACTGTAGATAACATGTGTGTCCCTCCCCTGCATGGGAGCAGGGAATAAAAGAAACTGTAGCTTGAATACCTGTTGTTGTTACTTCCAGTAAAGTCTTGTTCCAGCATTAAGCATTGGCTCATGTTTGGGGGGGATTGGAAAACTACACTCTGGGGATTACTATAATCACTTACTCCCCAGAGTAAACTCTTGCAATAGCTTGATTTGTTCCTGCTACGCTCTCTGGATTTAGGAGAGGTTCACCCACTGGGAGCTGGATCCTGGTCATGGATCCAGGGTGGGTGGAGACGGCGAGACCCCGGCGCAGCAGTATCGCTGGAAGTGGGGTCTGCAGTGCTGATGGTGTCGGTTGGAGTGCTTGGAGTCCTCAGCGAGCACTAGGTGCATCGATTGGCGGAGGTACTCAGTCGGAGTGTCAGCGTTCCGTCACAGCCTGGATGTCCCCCGAGTTGGTGTTCCTGGGGCCTTCCCCTGCTTCCGTGTTGTCAGTTGTTGTGGTAGGAGTTTGAATAGCTCCACATTCCCTGCTGGGGCAGGGTAGGGGGATGTGTCGCCTCCTTAGCTTGGTGGTGATGTGTGGGATTGTCCAGGATCTGATTGAAGATGGACTGGCAACATCTCTTCGCTGAGGTGCTAGGAAGAGATCTTTTCGTCACCTTCATGAGACATACTTAAATAAAAGATAAAATTATAATTTGAAACGTGCGGCAAAACAATTATGCTCATTGTTTTGGTGACGCCCTGCTAGTTGCCAAGTGGCTTGAGAGGCTCTATCTATGCGTTGGCGCGAGGGGATTTTTGTGGCCACTGAACGTTGTGGCAGGATGTTGGCCTCTCGGTGACTAACCAGAAAATAGGAAGAGGAGTGACAGATGAGGCTCTCTCTATGATACATGCGAGGCAGCTAGCTTACGAGTGGCCCAAAGGGTGTATGCCTCTGAGTGAGAGGCGGGGTGTTGGCCTCGCAGGACCACTAATCCAAAGCATAGTGCAGAAAAAGAGGGATAATAACTATTGGCCCCTATGACCCCAACTGCCAGTACTTATATCTATTCTGTGGGAGATCAGGTATGGATATAATGTAAGCAGGTGCACGTACCTGGTAGTATGGTTTTTGAAACCTGACAATCCATTTAGGTTTCAGTAGTACCTGTAGACTAAATAGATGGAGACTGTATAAAATAAAGCAAATTTATTGCACAACCGAGTTTACCTTAATTTTGTTTGGCTGTTGACCTATATAGGTCAGTGGAGATGATGTTTGTAAAATCTCCGTAAATTCTAAACGTACTTGCGGGCCCGTAGGCAGTAGAGTTAGTAGGACCCCCGTTGGTCTCGGTGTAGCGTAATATTTATAATTCAACATGCACTTTAGCCCGTACAGAGTTTGCTTAGGCGAAATGTTGTAGCCCCATGGCGTAATACGGTATTTACTATGGGCGCTGAGTTTAGAATTATATGTGGCACCCGTACCAGATTTATTTAGGAGAATATATATATACATATACACACACACACACACACACACACACACATATATACACACACCCGCTGTTTTGTTAGGTATGTATTATTTTATATGGGGTGGGGGTATGTTTGATGGGCAATCGTATTATTTATTGCATATGAAAATAAATTAACAGGTATCTATGTGAAAAATAACTGTCTACTGTATAAATAATATAATGTGTCCGTGTATATGGTAGCATATGGATAATACGTGAAAATTGTTTGTTTGACCTATAGGAGTCAGTGCTTTAGAAAATCCCATATGATATTATGTAAAGTGATCTGTAGGTGGCAGTGTGGGGTTGGTCTTAATAGATGTGTTAAGCAATGTAATTAAATGGTGTAGAGCCAGTGGAGGTTGTGGGAGGTGATTTATGTAAATAATAGGTGTAGACTGTGATAGTAACAGGCAGGTAATGAATAGGGGTCATGTGGGGGGTTAAATGGAACTGTGACTCATGTCCCCATACTGGGGGAAATGCAGTATACGGTAAAATTTGTAGTTTTAAACCCTGAGGTTTGTGTCTCGTTTGTGCGGTGTAGACCGCACGAGTGGCAATTGATTGCCGTACGGGAGTATGCACATGCCCGGCGAGTAGGAAACGGGTATAGGTGAATGCATGTAACCCGTTCGTGAGTATGAATGATTGAGTGATGTGTGGTACAATTATGGAACACATGGACTCTGTTCGTGCGGTAGGACCGCACGAACAGAGGAATCATAACATAAGCGATTTAAGCCGTTTCGCGTCCGGGACTATGAGAAAGCCCGTGCGAGCAATGTATACAGAATATGCATGGTAGTTTTATAAATGAACCGCAAGATGCACAAACGGTTGCATAGAAAGTCGATTTGACAGCAGAAAAAACAAACAAAAAAAAAGTAAAGTGAGGAGCTGGCCTGTGACGGATGCCGTGGGACTGTTGCCTGGCGTAACTGGTAGGTCGACTTATGGTTTGAGAGTCACTAGGACGTGATCTGCGGCAATGAAAGAAGCTGGTCGGACGGAAAAGCCTATGACAGAATTCCTGGACACAGCTCAGCGTAGAAGACCTCATGGGAAAGCAACACAGGTATTCCAAAAGGGCGACTGGATGAACTGGAAGTGCATTCAGAAGCGAGACACACACACACACACACACACACACACACACACACACACGATAGCAGGAGAGCTGCTTCCTTGCAGTAAGATTTATTAAAAACGCACACCTCACATAACTAGCCCGCTGCCTGCAGACACGGGAACTTTGGCCTACATTGCTAATCTTGTCATCTGCAACCTTTGTCCTACATACATGAACAAGGTGACACACACACACACATAGGGCAGTCTGCCAACAGTCACAAGAAACTGATGACAGTAACAGATAATCCACATTATATAGCGTGACAATCGCTCTTAATATAGTAATACAGGATTTTGCACTTGCCTGAAGCAACATTGCAGTCTTTACAGCTGTGTTTGGGCCCAAAACAGTACATCGGGTTTAACTTTAAATATCAGATAGTTTAACGTGTCATACAAACTACACAGTATAACAAGAGAAGAAAATCAAACAAGATAACGACTGAGATGGATTAGCAGGAATGTGGGATACATTTTCTGGCCATTGAAAAATACTCAACAAGCATTAAAATGTAGCAACGCTAAACAGTCAGAGTGCTTGGGAAGTCAATTTTAAAAAATTCTCGCCAATTCCGGTTCACAAGAATAGTGAACAATAAGTGCAATTAAACACTAGGATTTAACATGTATCAGCAAAAATAGGAGGAAAGAGAAAGATATCCTTACTGGTCTAGACACACCAACAGTAAAAAGGCAAGGGATGCTTTAAATAAAGTTAGATTAATGTTTATTTAGACTCAATTTATTCCACATCGCTTTTTATTCTAGAGGAGGAGATTTAACAGCAAACCAAAACATGTTTGATAAAATGTACAGATGGTGAGGGATTAATATACAATGAGAAGCTCGTGTAGGACAGCTGCGGAATTGGAAGATGAGGATAGTGTATGGACACATTAAGTGGATAGAGTAAGAGATAGGTTTGAAGAATGACAGGTGAAGTCCACAGACTATTCTGAAAAGATGGGTTTAAGAATATTGAAGACTAGGGGGAGACAGGAGCTACCCGAGACAAGTGCTGTAGGACTTAGCAGTGTAGGTATGAGCAGCAGACAGGAGAAGGTCAATGACATAATGAAGTGGTTTAGAAGAGGTAACTATGAATTAGTAAAGAAATGTGTGTGGGGTGGGGGCCATGGTTACATATTACATAGCTGAAAAGAGACTTGCGCCCATCAAGTTCAGCCTTCCTCACATATTTTTTTGCTGTTGATCCAAAAGAAGGAAAAAAAAAATCCAGTCTGAAGCGCTTCCAATTTTGCAACAAACTAGGACAAAAATTCCTTCTTGCCCCAAAAAATGGCAGCCATATCTCCTTGGATCAATCAGGCTGTCAGGGAGTTACTCTGAAACTGCTATGTTTACAGCTGCAGAGTTAAAACTAGAGGGACCTGGCACCCAGACCACTTCATTGAGCTGAAGTAGTCTGGGTGCCTATAGTGGTCCTTTAAATACAGAGTTTCCCCACTTAGCTCCTTAAGTACTTGTGGTACAGTACAGTCAGGCCCGGGAGCTTATTTATAATAATTTTCTTTAACTGATGTAGCACCTTGTCTCGAGTCATCCGATCACAAGTTATCTGCGGCAATCAATTGCCTATCTCTTGCCATGGGATCCTCAATATATACAGAAGAAAATTATAGTTATTTAACATTTCTGCCTTTTCCTGGTCTTCATTAACGAACAATGGTTGTTGAGAGCTTTATATGCAAGTGTTAATTTTGAATTGAATGCCGAAGGGCGCAGGAAGCTAATGTAACTATTGACAGAGGTTTGATGTGAGAGGAGCAAATCGAGAGAAATAAGCCTCGCTGAAGCATTCGTTATGGACTGCACAGAGGCAGCAGAGTGTCTGGAGAGACCAGTTAGGAGAGAATTACAGGAGCATGAACAAGTTACTTTGTGGCATCTTGCGTAATAAAGAGAAGGAGGTGCTCAATGTTTTAAAGGTGGAATTGGCAGGATTTGGTGACAGACTGATGTTCAGTTGTACAGGTGAGGCCAGTATCAGAGAGAATAGCTCATAAGATGCCAACGAACATTATAGCTACAGTAAATGTACACTGCAGAGATCTGCAAGAGGATTCTCAGTATAACCCCTAACCCTACTGTAAACCTGCCACTGTAATAACACATGTCATTATTAACAGTGCTGTAATAACACACGTTTGTAATGTGGTGCGAATGTGTAGGACTTGTTTATGCTGACCTTTCAAAGTTGACACATCTAAACTGAATACAATGACAACTAGAAGGGTCAGATTCTTAGACCAGTGTTACTATGAACACATGTTTTTGAAAAGGAAGTATCTCAATGAAATCTAGGGGAAAATGCAGCCAGTTAAAACACACATCTCTCAGTGCTTAAAATTAGCCCTAGGTGTCTGCAGAGTTGAGACAGCTCTAAACACATTCTTAACATTAACTAGACGGGGTCAGCCGAGGACAACACATATAGAATTGCAGTAAGCATACAAATTGCTTTATTAATAGCCCACTATGGTTTCATTTCATGGTTGAATAATGCTGAAGGTCATATGACCTATTCAATTTACAATATCTAGCCTGAATCGGGGTTAATGGGATTACCACCGAATCTATGACATGCCAGACATTAATAAAATGCCAGCTTGATTCACATATCAGGAAACAGTAAATATAGTGATATACAAAGGGTGGTATTTAATACGCATGTTTTATCCCGTTTTTGACCTTTGAAAGCCTGGATCTACTTTCATGTACAAAAATGAAAGTCTGCCAGGAGGGTGGTCTGCCTCTGCCTGCCCGGGGAGGGTCTGCCTCTACCTGCCAGGGGTCTGCCTCTACCTGCCAGGAGGGGTCTGCCTCTACCTGCCAGGAGGGAGGGTCTGCCTCTGCCTGCCAGGAGGGAGGGGTCTGCTACTCTCTGCCTGCCAGGAGGGAGGGTCTCTACCTGCCAGGAGGAGGGTCTGCACCTCTACCTACTGCCAGGAGGGAGGGGTCTGCACTCTACCTGCCAGGAGGGAGGGTCTGCCTCTACCTGCCAGGAGGGAGGGTCTGCCTCTACCTGCCAGGAGGGAGGGGGTCTGCCTCTACCTGCCAGGGAGGGAGGGTCTGCCTCTACCTGCCAGGAGGAGGGTCTGCCTCTGCCAGGAGGGAGGGGTCTGCCTCTGCCTGCCAGGGGAGGAGGGTCTACTCTACCTGCCAGGAGGAGGGTCTGCCTCTACCTGCCAGGAGGGAGGGTCTGCCTCTACCTGCCAGGGAGGGAGGGTCTGCCTCTCTACCTGCCGGGAGGGGGAGGGGTCTCTGCCGGGAGGGAGGGTCTGCACTCTGCCTGGGAGGGAGGGGTCTGCCTCTGCCTGCTGCCGGAGGGCTGCCTCTGCTGCCGGGAGGGTCTGCCTCTCTACACTGCCAGGAGGGTCTGCCTCTACCTGCCTGCACCGGGGGTCTGCCTCTGCCGGGAGGGTCTGCCTCTGCCAGGAGGATGCCTCTGCCTGCCAGGAGGGGAGTCTGCCTCTACCTGCCAGGAGGAGGGTCTGCACCTCACCTGCCAGGAGGGCCACGCCTCTGCCAGGAGGGTCTGCCTCACCTGCCAGGAGGGCTGTCTACCTCTACCTGCCAGGAGGGTCACCTCTACCTGCCAGGAGGGCTGTCTGCCTCTACCTGCCAGGAGGGGGTCTGCCTCTACCTGCCAGGAGGAGATGGTGGATGCCCCATGGGGTAGTGAGTGCTGATACCCCCGTTCCCCGGGTTACCGGTCACTGATTACCTCCTCCCCGGTTACCCGCCCCCGTTGCCCCCGGTTACCCCCCGTGTTACCTGCCCCGTTCCCGCTGACCCTGGCCAGCACTCCGATGAGTCTCGCGGCCGCCATGTTGTCCTGTGTGACTGTGACAGGAGCCGGGCTGGGTGCGGGGTCCTTATCTGAGTGCGGGGCTGCCCCGGGGCTGCCTGTACGGCCTGAGCGGGTATCCCCGCCTGCCCGGGGCCGGGGGCCGTGTGAGGGAGTCCCATGCCCGGTACATACACTGAGTGCCCGGCTGGCAGCCCGCACACCCGGGATACCGGGATACAGCGTTATAACGGAGCCACCTGGAGACAGGCAGAGCCGGGGCAGCCCCGGGGGGCGGAGTCAGGGGTCCTCACACTGAGAGAAACGTCACGGGAGCTGCCAGAACCCGGAGACCGCGAGCCGAGCGGGAGGTGAGTGACAGCAGCTACTCCGCACCGCTATATATATCGCGATATTACATACTATAATATACTACACTCCGCACCGCGCTATATATATCGCGATATTACATACTATAATATACTACACTCTGCACCGCTATATATATCGCGATATTACATACTATAATATACTACACTCCGCACCACGTTATATATCGCGATATTACATACTATAATATACTACACTCCGCACCGCGCTATATATATCGCGATATTATATACTATAATATACTACACTCCGCACCGCGCTATATATATCGCGATATTACATACTATAATATACTACACTCTGCACCGCTATATATATCGCGATATTACATACTATAATATACTACACTCTGCACCGCTATATATATCGCGATATTACATACTATAATATACTACACTCCGCACCGCGCTATATATATCGCGATATTACATACTATAATATACTACACTCCACACCGCGCTATATATATCGCGATATTACATACTATAATATACTACACTCCGCACCGCGCTATATATATCGCGATATTACATACTATAATATACTACACTCCGCACCGCTATATATATCGCGATATTATGCAATATAATACACTCTGCACCGCTATATATATCGCGATATTATGCAATATAATACACTCTGCACCGCTATATATATCGCGATATTATATACTATAATATACTACACTCTGCACCGCTATATATATTACGATATTATGCAATATAATACACTCTGCACCGCTATATATATCGCGATATTATGCAATATAATACACTCTGCACCGCTATATATATCGCGATATTATGCAATATAATACACCGAGACACTCCGCACCGCGCTATATATCGCGATATTATATACTATAATATACTACACTCTGCACCGCTATATATCGCTATATACTACAATATAATACACCGAGACACTCCGCACCGCTATATATCGCGATATTATACAATATAATACACCGAGACACTCCGCACCGCTATATATCGCGATATTATACAATATAATACACTGAGATACTCTGCACCGCTATATACCGCGATATTATATAATACACCGAGACACTCCATACCGCGATATAATACAGTGAGATACTCGGTATCACTATATACTACACTATACTGTAATATAATACACCGAGATACTCGGCATCGCTATATACTATACTGTAATATAATACACCGAGATACTCGGTATCGCTATATACTGCACTATACTGTAATATAATACACCAAGATACTCGGTATCGCTATATACTGCACTATACTGTAATATAATACACCAAGATACTCGGCATCGCTATATACTATACTGTAATATAATACACCGAGATACTTGGTATCGCTATATACTGCACTATACTGTAATATAATACACCAAGATACTCGGTATCGCTATATACTACACTATACTGTAATATAATACACCGAGATACTCGGCATCGCTATATACTACACTATACTGTAATATAATACACCGCGATACTCGGCATCGCTATATACTATACTGTAATATAATACACCGAGATACTCGGTATCGCTATATACTGCACTATACTGTAATATAATACACCGAGATACTCGGCATCGCTATATACTATACTGTAATATAATACACTGAGATACTCGGTATCGCTATATACTACACTATACTGTAATATAATACACCGAGATACTCGGCATCGCTATATACTATACTGTAATATAATACACTGAGATACTCGGTATCGCTATATACTACACTATACTGTAATATAATACACCGAGATACTCGGCATCGCTATATACTATACTGTAATATAATACACTGAGATACTCGGTATCGCTATATACTACACTATACTGTAATATAATACACCGAGATACTCGGCATCGCTATATACTATACTGTAATATAATACACTGAGATACTCGGTATCGCTATATACTACACTATACTGTAATATAATACACCGAGATACTCGGTATCGCTCAATACTCCAATATAATAATACATTGAGATACTCGGTATCACTATATACTACAATATAATATATTGTATATTATAGTATATAGTGATACAGAGTATCTCAGTGTATTATATTGTATTATAGTATATTATAATACACCTGAGATTCTCGTTCACTATATACTATAATACAATAGAATATAATACACTATGATACTCTGTATCACTATATACTACACTATAATGTAATATAATATACGGAGATACTCGACATCACTATATAATATAATACACTGAGATACTCCACATAACTATATACTATACTACAATATAATATACTGAGATACTCCAGGTTAGTATGTAATACACTGAGATACTCTATAATATACTGAGATGCTCGGTGTTACTATACAATGCACTGAGATGCTCGGTGTTACTATACAATGCACTGAGATACTCAGTGTTACGATACAATACACTGAGATACTCAGTGTTACGATACAATGCACTGAGATACTCAGTGTTACGATACAATGCACTGAGATACTCAGTGTTACGATACAATGCACTGAGATACTCAGTGTTACGATACAATGCACTGAGATACTCAGTGTTACGATACAATGCACTGAGATACTCAGTGTTACGATACAATGCACGGAGATGCTCAGTGTTACTATACAATGCACGGAGATGCTCGGTGTTAATATACAATGCACTGAGTATATAATACACTGAGATACTCCGGGTTACGATATAATATACTGAGATACTCCGTGTTACTATATAATACATTGAGATACTAGTAATGTACTGAGATACTCCGGGTTACGATATAATACACTGAGATGCTCCGGGTTACTATGTAATACACTGAGATACTATATAATATACTGGGATACTCTGTGTTACTATATAATATACTGGGATACTCTGTGTTACTATATAATATACTGGGATACTCTGTGTTACTATATAATATACTGGGATACTCTGTGTTACTATATAATATACTGGGATACTCCGTGTTACTGTATAATATACTGGGATACTCTGTGTTAAGACACTCCCAGCTTAAATGAATGAAACCACCGTTTAGTGGCTTTTTTTTCCCCTTTAGGCACACAGGCGCTGTTGCTGTAGACCGTCAAACTCCCAAACTGAGTATACGGGAGTGCTTTAAACTCCCCTACTAAGAATCAGCCGAACTCCTTCTCTCCTAGAACAGGCGAAATAATACTTCCAAGTAGCAATCCCCCCCAAACACGAGACCAAGCTCCGTCTTGAGGGTAAAACAGGAATCTGCTTTAATGAGGGCTATCTGCACGGTATTTATTCAGGTCTCCCACCTGGTGGACACTCCGCTAGGTGACCAGATAGAAGACTGGGACACATAATGTACAGTAACCAATAACAGTGGCTCGGCTATAAACACTCCCTTTTGTACAAGTAAATCCCTCCTCTCTATCCTGGAGATAATTGGGAAGAAATCCAATTAACTCCAGGGATAGAGGCAAACCGCCATTTTACATAGTATAATAAAAATACATAACTGTAAAACTACCAAATGCATTTAGTTCGTGTAACGTGTCCCCAGATAGCCTGGGTCTGATCGCACATTACTACCGAATAGCGCTCAGACCCATTGCACACAGTTCAATCGCCATGGAGTCAAAGTCTTTCACATTGTTCTTTCGGTATATGATTGACTCCATGGGACGACTATCTGGGTTAAGTCCATTCGTATAATAAAAGTCCCGAACGGACCGGCGTTCGCATGCCCGATGATAAGAAGGGCGGTCGGCAGTTTCAGCAGTGTTCAGTAGAAAGTGTCAGTTTCTATTTCCATAGTTTGGGCGCTGAACACTGGTGTTCATTTGCGTGTTTACAATGGCCGACGCCTCATGGTCGGCATACGAACGACGACCACCCTGCATACGGTTCACATGAAGAGGTGTCTGCGGTTAACCACAATGTTCTAATTGAGGCCAATAGGTTAACCAGCAGCACACTCCTCTGCTGGGTGGCCGTCCGTTTGGTAGTTTCATTCAGTATAACTGGAAATAAACAAACAGGGACATACGGGCAGGTAATTCCATGAATGTATACAAAACAGACGAACCAGCAAATAGTACTTGGACAGATGGATCTGTCACACTCCGTGTTACTATATAATATACTGAGATACTCCAGGTTACTATATAATATAATATACTGAGATACTCTGGTTTACTATGTAATACACTGAGATACTATGTAATACACTGAGATACTCGGGTATCTGATATACCAGCGTTCTTAACACTTTATTACAATATATTGTGTATTATACACTCCTAATACACTG